TCAGGAAACACAAGTCCGCATTCGACGTGGATCACGCCAACCGCTTTCCTCGATTTGGAGGCGCTTCGATAAATTCGAAGCCAAAGTCTAACAAGTCCAAGAAAAAGAAATGAGTCTTTATCCTCTACGCTGCTTTAAATCTCGTCGAGGCCCTGGGGCCCCATGCACCCGCGTCTACAAGATTACGACACGGTCTTGTCTCCTCCAACAATTATGTCCACTTTCTTCATAGCGGAATGCCTTCCATCAACTCCAGAGCGCCCTCGCGCCCAACGGTTATTATCGCATCGCCAAGCGTCTTTGTCCGGAACCCGGCTTCGCAGTAAGTGAAGTAGTACTGCATGGCCAAATTAGCTTAGAAATACCACAAGAGGCATAGATGGTACGTGTCTTACCTCCCACTTCCTTCTAAATACATCTATTTCTTCTTCAGTCATGTCATCATGCTCACGTTTCAACGCTGGACGGATCTTGGAATCAAAGTTGCGGAGGAACTCCTCCTTCCACAGCCTCAGGGTTTTTGAGTAGTGGCCACCAATGTTCTCCACCTTTTCGACAATGAGAGTGCCCTTGGACTCCTTGCTGATGTGGTTCAACAGCTGAGTGATCGATGGGAGGTAACCTCCCGGAAAGATGTAGTGGTTAATGAAACTGCAGTCTGTCAGCACGCGACCCTATTCCGTGGGTTCTACCTTGCGACGACTTACTCTTCGCCCTTGGAGTACGCCTCATGGCGACCTTCGGGCATCGTAATGCACTGGAAGACGGCAATACCCCCATCCTTCTTCAGCAACCTATCCATTTGCGCAAAATACGTCGCCAGGAACTCCTGGCCAACGGCCTCCAGCATCTCAATAGACACAATCTTGTCAAACGGCCTGCCCGGGGTCTCCAGCTCTCGGTAATCCGTAAGCCTGACGTCGATACGGTCAGAGAACCCCGCGGCCTCGATGCGCTCCTCCGCGAGCGCCTTTTGCTCCTTGGAGAGCGTCAAGCTCGTCACGCGGCAGCCCGTCTTCTTGACCGCCTCGATCGCAAAGGAACCCCAGCCCGTGCCGATCTCCAGCACGTGGTCCGACGGCTTGATGCGCGCGCCGTCGATGAAGCGGTGCAGCTTGGTCATTTGCGCCTGCTCCAGCGTCTCTTCCGGCTCGTTGGGGTCGTCGGCGCTGCTTTGCGGTTTCCAGATGGGGCACGAGTACGTCATGTCCGGCGACAGGAAGGCGGCGAACATGTCGTTGCTGATGTCGTAGTGCGCCGAGATGTTGAGGAGGGCGTTGGACAGGGTGTTTGTGGTTCGCGCCAGGCTCGAGACGGCGGTGGACAAGCTCGATATCCAGGTCGTTCCGTTGCCCATTTCTTCGCGGTTGACGATGAAGAGCTGTGACGCCGTGTCATGTTAGCCACACCGCCCCTACACGACCATAACGCCCGCCCCAGCTTGCGAGTGTACTGACCTGAAAGAAGGCAGTCAAGTCCTTGCACTCAATCTCCCCCAGCATGTACGACTCGGCGAACCCCATGTCGGCGAACAAGAACAGGCGCATCCAGAACGCATCGCTCTTGACGACCAGCTCCACGCGGGGGACGGCATCGGCGCGGCGGGGCACGTGGTCGCCGTTGGTGAGGTTCTCGTTGTACTTTGCGCCCAGCTTCTGGCCAAACACCCTCCGGAGCTCGGCGGGCTCGTCGACGAGCAGGAGGGTGCCGCGCTCAATCTTTGAAAAGACGGAGAGGATGGCGGGCTTGGCTACCGACAGGGCCGGTCCCCAGGTCAGGCTGCCGACGGCGCCTCTCACGAGCTCGGTGCCGCGGTAGAGGGGTTTGGCGACGGCCGCCGGGACCAGCGAGGGGAGCTTGGGCATGGCTGCGCGCGTGGAGGGACGGTCTGTAGATACAGTAAAGTAGTAATCGCGGAGGTCCTGTTTACGGTGTTTTTTATGTACGAGACCCCGTGAGAAGCCCAATGGCTTTTGGTGTAAGGTACAGGATTGGACTGGCGCCGTTCAACCAAAGGTCAATTGAGTTGAGCAAGCCGCCGGGGAACCTAAAACCGAAGCTCTCAAGGTAGGTAGGTCACTGGGATGCTGCATACAGCTCTCTCTTTCTCACTACTCTCGAGAGAAGATGGAGGGGGGGCAAGCAAGCTTGATGGGATGTATGGGAGGAGGGGTGGAATGCCAAAGTTAACAGGAAACGAGCAGAGAGGGACATGTTCGCATCTGAGACCTCCAGCAAGGGGGGCGGGACGGGTATCATTTTATTGCAAGAGGCAACCCCCCGAAGGAGACCAATGTCACTCCAAGCATGTCAAGGCAAGGCTAAACTTCTAAAGGCGTTTGTGTGTGCGAGTTAGCTTGCCGGTGGGTAAGGTAGTGTGGTGCTGTCTTGAAGGGGAACCGGCAACGGCACATGGATGCAGCGAAGGAGGTGGAGGAAGAAGCAAGAGAGAGCGCATGCTTCCAATTCTTGTCTCGTCCATCGGTACCGTCGCAAGCCCGAGGGTCAAAAAATGGGGACGCATGGGAGGGTCCAACCTAGGCTTTGCCAGGATGAGCAAGGGTGGGAACTTGGGAAGAGTGGGTGCGGCAAGGGTAGCTCAGACGGGAATCACTCGGGAGGGGCAGAGGCCTTGGCCATCGCTTGTTTCATTGAGGAAATCGAACATCGCCAAAGGGGGGAGGGGGAGGTTGACGATCTCCTCGGCATCTAGGGTTCCTGTTCGTTGCCTTGCCTACCGTGGAGGGTGGACTTGAATAGCCTCTGGGTTCTGAGCTCACAACTTTAGTTTTGACATTGTACAGTGGCTCTCTGCCAAACCAACTTCTTGGAATCATTGACGCATTTAACTGACTGCAAAACAATTCTTGACAGCGGCTGGCTGCTGACAACGAACTTCTCCTCCTCGTCCTCCTCCCCAACAAAATTTCTTAGGGCCAGGGCTGTTAGTGTAAACCAAGGGATGATGTCAGCTTCCTACGGAGGCACGGCGAGCCGGACGCATGGTAAGTTGGGGGGAACGCATGGCAATGCATGTGCGCGCGAGCTATGATCGGAGTGGTGTACCCGACAAGCTCATTCGTCAATACAGGCTGGTAAGAATGGTTGAAGAAACTACCTCAGTAACACCTCGTCTTTACCTACTTTGTCAAGTATTACCACCTACCTACCACCTTGTCTCTCAAAGGGCCAGTGCGCTACCGGACCGTCCGGGCACGTTCAGCCTCGAACTGTTTTAGTCTCGCTGCTTGGGATAAGTTGGGTTGGGCCCTTGGGGGGGATCCAAAGGAACCACTGGGAACAAAAGAAGCACGAGCTGCAGGTTTCGAGAAGGCCGTCCGGAATTTGTCCCGGCTGGCAAGGTCCGGGCGAACGAAACAAACAGTTTAGCGTGAGGTTGAACGACTCAGGTAGCTCTTCATCGGACGAGATGGTACAGGGTAATCATCCTCAAGCGCGCTGGCCGTATGAGGATAAGAGGGTTCCTCTTTGCTTGTGGAGGAAGAACCTCTGTGCAGGATGAAGTACATCAAGATGCTCGTCCTTTCGAAGGATCATTCGAAGGATGATACCTAGATGGAAGCATTCGTATAGTCAGACGTAGAATGGTGGACTTGAGCCCGGTCCCTGCATGCTACTGCGCTGCAAGACTTGACAGTATTTCCTCCACCCATTTCATTTCCCGTGTCGGCCGGGTACGGTGTGCCAGAACGTTGTTTCTCCCGATCGACAGTCATCGACCCCGAACACCTCGTGACTAAGGTAAGTCAGGGTAGGCGGATGCTCATTCTTAATCCATACATAGCTCGAGCCTTGAACTCACACACTAATCCAACCGTCAACGACTTTTACGGTTCTTTCGAAATGCCCGTACTTCTTACAAGGGCATGTCCGATCCGATCCAGCGTTGAAACTCTCGATGAGCAAGGCTTTCCGCACTTCAATGTGTAATTGAAATCCTGCGCAACGAAAGTAGGTACAAGCGAATCAAAAGCGCAGGGTGTCCGATTTGGGCGTTCCCCGGTTGAGCAAAGTCCCAGGGGTCCCTTTGTTACTTTGCAGCTTTTGCGGAGCTTTTACTGGAAATTCTCAGGAAATCGACCAGGGTGTTTTGATATCAATGACATCAAGACTTTCCCACCCCCCACCGCCGCTAATTGGTTGCCGACAACCGTCAACCGCAGAATCCATATTCGTGGGCTTTTCCCGGGCGGCTTCACGATCTGGAAGGACGGACTTTTCGGAGGAGAGACGGACAAAGATGGACATTTCCTGGTGCCGGAGGGGATCGGAGGAGGGTACAGGGGGAAGCTAGGGGACGGGATTCCCACTGTGTTTTAACTTTTGGCATCCGGTTGTATTAGAGCTGCCACGTATTTGTCGCAGGACACCTAACCCGCCCGTCTTAGAGTCGTCCCTAAGGTTGTCCCGTAGCATACCGGTAGAGTGATGCATGTCTAATCCCGGCGGTCTGTCTGACTAGACATGTATGAGGACACACGGGGGGGTTGGGAAGTCCACGAGGATTGGGTGAGTTCCCTGCGACTGTCTTGGAATCATCAAAAGGGCTGGGTGGTGTTGCAATGCATGTCTCTCACCAGCACGAGCTTTGCTTGTTAGTTTGTACGAGCTACTGCAATTTCTCACACCTGTCACTCGCCGCCACCCGTAGCCAAGTGAGCCATGGTAGATGAGCGAGCATTGAGAAGCACATCAGCCGCAGTCCTTGGCGATGAATGCCTCGATGGTTGGAAGTGCAGAAAGGCGACTGAAGGGACGCGACCAGAGACTCGTGGAGTTGGGGGAAAAGGGTGTGGGACCGTGCACCGCGGGAGCCAAGACACTTAATCTTATCGATAAAGACGAGTTTATCGCAACATCTTATCGATTATCCAAATTCGCGTCTGACCCTTTGGGACGCGTCGGGTCAAGTCGAGTACGAAGTACCTGCAGTTAAAGTACCTTACTGAATAGAAGACCATTGACCCCTCCACGACCAGAAGCGATTCCCTATCTCCCAACATACACTACAGCCCACCATGTCGAAAGCTATTCTGTCCATCCAGTCAAATGACTCCACAAAGACCAAGGCCACGGTCAATCTGCTGCCTTGTCGTATTCATCACGATGGTCCTGTCGGCGACGCCAACACATTCTGGAACCCTTCCAAGTCAGAAGGTGCGTTATTTCGATCAACAGGAACGCCAATCCTTGAAGCTGACACTTAGACTTTCAGATGGCAAAACAGTAGCGTACTTCCGCGGCAGAAAGCTCTACGGCACGAAAGTCAAGTTGCCAGAACAATACCGAGGCGTAGTGATGGAGAGGAGCGCAAAGGTCGAGACGCAGCAGCTCGAAGGAGAGGACGAAGAGGCTGAGGGCGACCTGGTCGAGCTGGGTACCATGGAAACCAAGGCAGAGTTCGACGAGATGGTTATCTGGGGCCACGAGGCGAGTGCAGAGGCGGCGTCTGATCCGTACGCGAGGAGTATTGAAGAATGGCTTGGTGTGGCTGAGTCGGTATACAGTTCTCCGGTCTGCATCTGCTATTCATAAACTAACCTTTGAACTAGATACACTCTTATTCTTCAGACGATAACAAGACTGGTGCGTAAACAGTCAAGGAGGCACGGATTACGGCTAGGGATATATCGGTGGCATTTGCCCAGAAAGGGACGACAGCAATGGCATGATTTAGGCGTTACGGGGCAATTCATACAGAAGCGATACTATTCCAGAACCTTTACCGCCATGATTTACCAATTTCTAAGACCTATTGATTTACGTTCAATGTCAATAAGTTCTCTACGGGACACTGCGAAAGGCATCGCAAAGAATTGGGGGCATAAGGGCTGGCATCCAAAAAGAGACTAGCGCAGAATGCAGTCAATTAAAGCCGTCGCGACAGCAACGCGATGCGACGCGACTGCTGCCCCTCACGCGTCAAAATCAATTAAGACCCCTGAGTGAGCAAGTCTCCGCCTCCCCAATGCGAAAAAGGCTCCATCGCATCCCACCACCCAAAATCCCACCTCCACCAAAAAACAACATCCCGCATCTCTGCCTAGCAACCACCGCTTGCGCACTATCAACCCATTGTCGACTTGCGACTCCCTAATCGGCATCCTCCAAAAGTCGCAACAGATACGACATTCATCATGGCTCCCTCCAGCGACGCCGGCCTGCTAATGTCGGACGCCCCGTCCCGTTCGGCGGCTACCCCTAAGCGCTCATTCATGCCATCCTCATCCGTCGGCGGCAGACCACGGGCGCCGCCCTCCGAGAGCATGGGCGCCCAGAGCGACGATGAGGCCGAGGGCTTCGCCGACGACCAAGTCCCTCGCGGATCAAGGATACCAGATGCTGCAAACATTCCCCGCGTGGAGGACAGAATTGGTCTCATGGTCCAGGACCATTTCGAGACCTTCATTGAAACGTGGGTTGCTTCTCTATCTTTCGTTGAATCTCTTAGGAAATTATTCTAACCACAGAATGCTGTAGATTCGTAGAAGAACCAAGCTCTTCTGGCCCGCCGACATCCAGCGCTGCTACGACAGACAAGTACTATGTTGCCCAAATCCACGGCATGAGGACATACCAGCTTTCAACATTCTACGTCGACTTCAAGCACCTGACCACATTTACCAATGGAGAGCTGGGTGACGGTATCATGCGCGGCTACTACCGATTCCTCCCTTTCCTCACGGCCGCGCTACACAACATGATCGCCAAGTACGAGCCGCAGTACTTCCGCGAACACAGGCAGCCGACATCCTCCAGCAACCCGACAAATTCAACCGCAAGCCAGCTTGGTTCTGCGAGTCAGACGGATATGGGTGAAAAGACGGCCAACCAGCAGACAGACAAGCTCTTCACCATCGCCTTCTACAACATGCCCCTGATCTCAAGAGTGCGCAGTCTTAGGTCGACCAACATTGGCCAGCTGCTCTCCATCTCTGGCACGGTGACCCGAACATCAGAAGTCCGCCCTGAGCTTTCACTCGGCACATTTGTCTGCGAGGCCTGCAGAACGGTCGTTCCCAACGTCGAGCAGACTTTCAGATACACCGAACCCACCCAGTGCCCCAACATGACTTGCCAGAACCGCCAAGCATGGCAGCTCGATATCCGCCACAGCACGTTTGTCGATTGGCAGAAGGTGCGCATCCAAGAGAACAGCTCAGAGATTCCCACGGGAAGCATGCCGAGAACAATGGACGTCATCTTGCGCGGAGAGATTGTGGACCGGGCCAAGGCGGGAGAGAAGTGCATCTTCACGGGTGCGCTTATCGTCGTGCCCGATGTCAGCCAAATGGGCCTGCCTGGCTTGAGGCCAAGCACTATTCGCGACGACAACCGTGCTGCTGGTACCGACGCCGGCGGCTCTGGCGTCACTGGTCTCAAGGCTCTGGGTGTTCGCGATCTGACCTACCGCATGGCCTTCCTTGCGTGTATGATCACTCCCGACACCTCAAATCTGGGCCAGACGGCGAGCGGGCAGGTTGCAGATGTTATCAGCTCCTTGACACAAAACAACGGTAACGACACCTCGGAATCAGTGGACGACATTCAAGCTGCAATCGTCGCTGGCTGGAGCCATGCCGAGATTGAAGAGCTGCGCCAACTCGTCAGCGAGAAAAACCTTCTCGATCGATTGGTAGCCTCCATAGCGCCTACTGTCTACGGCCACAACACGATCAAGAAGGGTATCCTGCTTCAGCTTTTGTCTGGTGTGCACAAGACCACCGCCGAGGGCATGGAGCTGAGAGGTGACATCAACATCTGCATTGTCGGTGACCCTTCCACATCCAAGTCTCAGTTCCTCAAATACGTTTGTGGCTTTGCACCTCGCGCTGTCTACACCAGTGGTAAGGCTTCTTCCGCTGCTGGTTTGACAGCCGCTGTGGTCAAGGATGAAGAGACTGGAGACTTCACGATTGAGGCTGGTGCTCTCATGTTGGCAGACAATGGTATTTGCGCCATTGACGAATTCGACAAGATGGACATCGCCGACCAAGTCGCCATCCACGAAGCCATGGAGCAGCAGACGATTTCCATCGCCAAAGCTGGTATCCAGGCCACACTCAACGCCCGCACCTCCATCCTCGCCGCCGCTAACCCTGTTGGCGGCCGATACAACAGGAAGACGACCCTTCGCGCCAACATCAACATGAGCGCTCCCATTATGTCTCGTTTCGATCTTTTCTTCGTCGTCCTTGATGAGTGTAACGAGACCATTGACCGACATCTTGCTGAGCACATTGTCGGAATCCACCAGCTCCGCGATGAAGCCATCGAGCCCGAGTACAGCACCGAGACCATCCAGCGCTTCATTCGTTTCGCTCGCGCATTCCGCCCCGAGTTCTCTCCCGAGGCCAAGGAGTTCCTTGTCGAGAAGTACAAGGAGCTCCGCGCTGATGATGCGCAGGGCGGCATTGGCAAGAACTCGTACCGTATTACTGTTCGTCAGCTGGAGAGTATGATCCGCTTGTCTGAGGCCATCGCCAAGGGCAGTTGCGAGGCTGTGATTACTCCCGACATGGTTGCCCAAGCCTTTGATTTACTTAGACAGAGTATCATATCTGTCGAGCATGACGATGTCGAAGTTGACGACGAGGAGGCACCGGAGCAAGGTGCGGCGCTCCTCCGCGCGGCGTCTGAAGCGGCTGGTCAGCCGGCCGATGACGAAATGGCCGTTGACCGACCAGAGGGCACGCCAGCACCGGCCAGAGTCAAGCAGACCATTACGTTCGAGAAGTACTCGAGCATGGTCAACTTGATTGTCGAGCACGTCAATGAAGCCGAGGCCGAGAACGGCGAGGGCGTCGAGGGCGAGGCGCTCGTCGAGTGGTACTTGGAGCAGAAGGAGGACGAGCTCAACAGCGTCGAGGAGCACGACTCCGAGAAGGCATTGGCGAAGAAGGTTCTCAAGAGGATGGTCAAGGTATGTGGTGTCCCCGAGTATACTTCCAGGGAATCGAAACTAACTCGAACTTGCAGGAAAACATTCTCATGGCTGTCCGCGGCCAAGGCTTGGCAGACGACGACGCACCTGCCGAAGGCACTTCTTCTGGCCCTGTGGAGCCGGCGACTATTGTTTACGTGTTGCATCCCAACTGCGCTGTTGAAGAGTTTTGAATTGAGGGCGGCGTAGACTGGGCTCGTGAATGATTCTGATGAGAAAGAAAACAAAAAGCTGAGAGTATTGTCTGCGACATGTTGGACTTTTTTCATGTGAAGCCTTGGAGGGGATAATGTTGTCGAGCTTGGTTCGTTTTGTCAAGCTTGGGAGTTGGGGCGTTCGGCCACGTAAGGTAGGCCTTGCTCGTCAATGATGGGCATAGATGTAGAAAGAGACATTCGAATATCACGAGGTCTTCATGATCGTCCAATGCTTATTTGCCTCCAAACCTGCATACATGTACTAATATATAACACTCAGTTCGGCCAACATTCAAATTGCGAATCAGATCAGTAACACACGGACCATCCTCAATGATACATTGTTATTGAAACCAAGCATCTGAGAACGGCACACTCGTATTTGGAGCATTGGTCTTGTATGCTGAGATCGATTTGGCACATCGTCAACTTGAGTGCCGACAAGCTGTGAAGTATCTCAGAATCCGTCCACAGAGACTTGCGTATACCAGTAGTATTAGCACATGCTGCTGAATCTTCAAGGTATAAGAAGCTCCCCGTGTCCCGGGGTTACGTTCTTGGATTTGCAAACGCCATTCTTCATCCACCGGCTGGGAGATGACTCCCTTTGCTCTGCCACGAGCGAGCACTGTTGGGTCAGTCAATCCACTCCTGGTGTGTTTTGACGACGACGAAGTTCGGGCGAGTAAGAGCAAAATAGAACCAAGGGTGTAAAATCATATATCCGAACCAACACCTCTTGCTCATCGGCATTGACTGTTGACGAGGTATTCCGACGTATACTCTGACGACGATGAGCTCTGATGATGAAGAGATGCCGCCTGAGAGATTGGTCTGATAGATTGTTGAAACTAAGCAGGATGATGACCAGGCATGGGTAGACTGTCCTCCCAACACTAAGTACGGATACTTAGCAACTGGCTTCGAACAGATTGACCGCGAACCTGCTCCAAGAGGGCTTCAGGCACGATTTCTGGACTGGTGTAGTGACTGTCAAACACTCTTTTATACTGGATATCCGCAGAGCCGACGGTCGGGACGTGCAACACGGGTACGTAGGCACCTACGACCTTGACTTCGGGGCAAGGCGTTGCGAGGGGGACAGCCTAGTCTATATATATTTATGTATATATTCGTCCCCAGCGGGAAGAAACTATCTCGACTAAGCGTAAGGTAGCCATGTTGACAACTCCGGATCTGCATTTGCTGTTGAGTGGCACTTAGCTGAAGCCGCGAAGCGTCTGCCATAGAGCAGTTGAAAGATTGCTTGAAGCCAAGGGTTTTCTCAAAAAAAGGAACAAAAGCAAATTCGCTAATGATGTTTCTTCCTTCTCTAATTTTGGTCTCCGGAGTATTCGAGGCGTATTTTTACCGGACGGTGGGGGAAATAGGTTAGTGATGGTAATCGTTAAGGAGACTTGACAGGGACACTACACGCCTCACCTGCCTTATTAAGTATTTCGAAGTCATTACGAGAGTGAGG